AAAGTCTAATTCTAGCAAGAAGATCAAGAGTCGATTTCAGTAGTATAAGCGTATAATTAATCAAACGCTTAATACAATGCATTCAATATACTCTACAGATATAACACAAAAAGATCTTTACGTACAAAATTCATATTCTATCATGTGAAGCATACAAGCATACACAATCAATTTTCGTTACAACATTCCAAATTTCTTATCGTTAAATTTACACGTCAAAACTTCGAAAACTTTCCAAATTGTAAACTTTCGCATCAATTCAATCATTTTAATTTCAACAATTTTCCAACATAGACTCTTACTCTTTATTCTTCCCAAAGACACGCACATCGTTCCAAGGAAGACTAGGAAAATTTTGATCAATTTTTTTCAAGATTAAAATTTGATACGGTTGCAGAACTTCATAAATGGGGGACATGGCAAAAATCTCGCTTCAGAGTGTAACAGCGAGAGAATCGTGTGCTGGCAATAAATACATTTTGCGTCTACTCGCATTAGGCAACCGATCGACTCGTTGGACGGTGTTTAATTATAAACCGGGCGGCGATAAATAGCGGCGTGTCCATTAAACGGTGATTACAAAGCGCCGGCGTCGGTAAGAATTAATTGCCAGCTTGGGAGTAGCAACAATCGTGCGACACGGAAAAGGATAGCCTGGGAGGATCAGCGACCGCATACGTTTAATATCTGTCGTTTAAAGATGATTTATCGGGGAACATTTTTCGTTGTATCGGCCGATTTTCAGCTTTACTTTTTTTTTTTTTTTCTATGCAAACGTGACTTTCGATATTTGTTTCTAAATTTAACTTATTCGATGGACTATGTTTAAAGAAAATTGATTAAAATGATGGTTGAAGTATTTTTTATCAGAATTGACAAAAAAGAAATAATCGATTCTCAGTCTGAGAATAATAAAATAAATAAATTTTAAGCAGAAATTTAATGAATAAATATGCGGTAAAAAATTTTTAACTAATAATAGATTTTTGAACAAACATCGAATTACTTTTTTTTATCGAAAAACGAATATAGATAGAAATACCTATATTTTCAGATTCTAACATATAACAATAAATCCTCATTACAGAAAAAAGCCTTCTTGACGCAGAATTATGAAACTCATTCACACATTTACTTTAACCTCCCCTAACTCTTCCCTCTCTATATATATATATATTCGACAAAAAAAACGAAAAAAAAAAATTCAATCAAATCTCAATTTCTCTCCACCACTCCACTCCTCCCCACACCCTCCTCCCCGATTTGGCTGCAGATTTTCCATCCACTTATCCAAATTCCCTCCCTCACACTCCTTCCCTCCTCCTCGTCGAAATCTCCATCTCGCATAATACTCGCCGCGCGAAATAAGGAAAAACTGGATGGATCACGCGAGCCATTTGGCCGCTCGTGGTGCACGGCTGCCGCCGGGAGCGGTGCCCCGGGTGTAGGACGACGATACGGAACGTGAGTAACGGGAATTCGAAGGTGAATGCTCGGGCAAATTGCGAATTACGATACGCGGCGGTATCGGGTACGTAACGTCCGCGCGAGTGGCATCTCCACGCTTGGGCGCAACAACGCATCGGCGAGTAACCGAGTAACCAGTAATTGACTTGGTACGAGACCAGGGTCTCGAACGTGTACGCAGAGTATGAGAGAGAATAAGAGAGAGGGAGGGAGAGAATGGAGGACGTGATCGAGGAGAGGAACGCGAATAAGGCGTAAGGTAGGGAATAAAAATTTTTTCCGTGGAGAAGGTTTTCGACGAGGTCGAAGGCTCGAAGAATTTCGAGGGAATCGTGGAAAACGCGGACTAAGAAGGCGGCTGCTAAGAATAAATTCTCGGTGGAATAGTTCCGCGAGCCGGCTCGAGGAATCTGCGATTCGCAGGGGTGGTGCCTTAATGGCTTCTCTTATTACCACTAGCCGTTTCGTGTAATTGTCCGCCTCTTTTTCCCCCTCTTTTCTTCTTCTTCTTCTTCCTTTTTTTCCTTTCTTTCTTTCTTTCGCTTTTTGTAGTTGGCTGGATGGAGCGTGCGGGAATGTTTCTTTGTGCCAGATTAGTGGAGGTTTTACCGGAGGATTTATACGCGTGAGTTTTGTATGGGAATTTGGTACGAGGAGGGGAGGGGAGGAGGGGGATGCTCGAAACACTTTGTGTTTAAATCGAGATCGAATTAGGGGATAAATGGGGATTTAATAGTTAAGATAATCGATTTTTAAAGAAATAATGAATATAAGATTAAAAAATTCTAAACGATAAAGAAAATATAATTTTTTTATCTATAAATATCGATTTCGATATTTTTTTTTTTTTAAATTTTAAACGACACACAAATAATCTTAAATAATTGCGTCTAATTTTAAGAGAATTGGAAATTGGATTAATTATTCAAAATGAACGAATGGAAGTTAATATATTTCCCAAAAGAACAATAACTGACAAATATCGAAATATTTATTAGTATAATTTATTGAATACTAAAAGTAAAAAGTAATATTAAAATAAAATTATAAAAATAAAATATAATTCTATTTTAATATTTAAATAATCCTCATAATAATCCTTTCCTTGAATAATAACATCGATCAAAGTGTACAATAATTCTCCGAAAAATAAATCGGGACCAATATATATTATGTAATATCGATTGTGTAATATAGAGTAACAAAAAATAATTAAAAAAACAAGTTCGAAAATACTATTTATAAACATGTAGAGTTTTTTTTCATTTTATTACGTAAAACGTTTAATCAAATCTCGCTATGAAATTTTATCAATTACGCGATATTTTAATATTTTCCTAAGTTGCAATCAATTTTGACAGTGAATTTTTCATTTTTTATTGAAAGTGTTTTAAAAAAATGTTTCATAAATTATTTTTACTTCGTCACTTTTATTATTATTTTATTCTTTTATTTTATTTTCCATACATTTTTTTTCTTAATATTATATTCAATCACATGCTCTTTTGAATATATTTATCCTCGTTGATATACGATACAGCGATAAACGAAAGAAATTCAATTTTCATGGTATACCATGATATATTCATTAATATTCGTATCGTTACTTCATGACACTTCAATCCGTTCTAACTTTCAACACGGGCATTACCCATGAAAAATTGCTTGGATAAACCTTATACGTTTTCCTTTGAAATTCCAGATCATGAATTCCATACTAGCCCTACCCCTATTAAATTACGAAGATACGTTTCGTCCTCTTGTATCGCTTAAATCATGATCCATTACTATAAAAAATATATATATATATTGCTTCTCTATATTGGAAAAAAAAATAAGGGAATAATACCCGTATTTTATGACGTTGAAAATATTAGCAATACAATACGTATTTCTTGTCTTGGATAGTTACAAGATTTACGTAAGCTGTTGAAAACAAGAGTGATGTAAGTCGAAGAAAGTTGCAATGAAAGTTGTGAAAATTGCGTTGATTTACACTGTAATTTATTCACAGGTATTCTTACGTTATAAGTAACTATAAATTATAATAAGATTACAGTTTTTATCCTTTAATGATGTAAGAGTTTTTTTATATTTGTGGATATACTTACAAGAATTAAAATAAACTGTTATCTTTTGTAACTTCTGTTATTTTGTGATCTTCGTATAGAAATAATATCTTTGATCTTTTAAAATCTTTAAAATTAATAACTCGATTTTAGCTTCATTAAAAATGATACTTTGATATATTTCGATTGAAAGTCTTGGTATATTTTCATTATAGGTTTTGTGTATTGATATTAGAAAATGGCAAAAGATCGATTAAGTAAATTAAGCCAAATTTAATTTATTAACTTTTGATTATTTTTGTCAACTATTTATAGATTGATGATATATATATTTTTTTTTAATCAGCTAAAATAAAAGAAAAGTTATAAAAATAGTTAGACATAAGATTAATTTTAATTTCGTAAAATTTAATAGTTTTCAGAATTATTTCCTCGATCGAAGTATTTTTTTCGATTTTTTACCAGATACAAGTTCAAAATTTCGATATCGATCGCGAGAATGGAAAACTTGTTTGGAGATTGGCTGACTTTTACGTGGAACAATCGCAGGAACGCCGATCCACGCGTTGGCCAAATATTAGATTTCCACGCACGTTGATAACAAACAGCAACAACGTACGATGTGTCTACTTTGTACGAACGTAAATAACATTTTTCAGTTAAATAACGTTACATCCATGGCTATAAATCGTGATTCCACGCAAACATCACGAAGACCGGACGAATACGCGGAATATCGGGTTGGAGATTTTGATGAAATGGTAATATTGAACTATCGACTGTTCGACGATCTGACGACCTAAAAAATATTCACCGTATGTAGTGTTTAAATGTTTATGAACGAATGTTGAGATAGTGTTCGAAAGTTGTTCAATTTACCGAGAGATTTACTTATGACTAATTCTTCTATTTTTTTTTTTTTTTTTTTTCTAATAGAATTCTGAAACTGAGAATAAATTCGATAATTATTCTTTGAATGTCTGAATTTTTACATCTACGAATCATTGAATCTATGAATTTCTCAATTTTTTAATCTTGAAATATTTTAATCTCTGAACCTTTAAATCCTTGAATCTTTGAATTTCTGGAATTCTTGTATATCTCTTTTACTTTTGAATTTTTGGATTTTATCTGTAACTTAAATAATCAAATTTTCTAATTTGAAATATTATTAATGATATATGATATTAAGTACCATTTACGATCATTTACACGTTCTTCTGATACAAGATTGTACCAGAACCTGATGATGTATAAGGCGAAAATTTGGTAGTGAAATTCGTAGAGGGAGGACTAACTGGCCGCCGAACTTTCTTCGTTACTTCCGTTCGCGGACGGAAGCGGAACTTAATTAATGCGGGTTCGTTACGCGGTGCGAATATACTGTGCTTTCCAGAATTTCAGATTAAACCTAACTAGAAGCTATACTTTCCTGGGGGAGTTCCAGCTTCTCGCAATAACCTCAGCTCCTTCAACGACTCCAATTAATTGCCATGCTATGATATCAGATTCATTCAGCGACGAGAAATACGAACTGCAAATCCATGTTTGGATCGATTATTTAGTTAAAAATATAACAACAAGATAAATATTTTGTGAAAAGGATCAAAGATTATATTATATTATATTCTGTTGTTTGGATATTTGAAAATTTTCAAATCTCTAACTTTTTTATCTTACAGTGCGAAATTTTGTGTATCATTGAATCTTTAAATCTTTGAATTATTCAATTTTTAATAAAATTCTTTTTAATCAAAATTTTATTATCAGAAATAAATAGCAATGTTCTGTATATTTATAAGTTTTTAATATTTACAAGTTAGCATTATAGTAAGACAGATTTTGATCTTAATAAAGTTAATAATTAACTTATATTAGCATTAAAAATATATTTTCTTTAATATTATAACTTAACATTCTTCATATCTATATCTCAAACTTCTCCAAAAGTAGATATTGAGATAAAAAAATTTACATAAAATATAATTTTAGTATATTGCCATAAATTCAAAGAAAAATGAATATTGTATCTTGACAAAAATAGAAAATTTAAAAATTTATAATAAATAATATCTCAGACAAAAATAACTAAAAATCTCACTAAGTAATGTACCATAGTAGATTGTTTAAAAAAAAAACTATTACAATTGTGTATATCATCTAATGTACATAAAAGGTATTCTCCTTCGCATTCCAGCAACCACGGAATCCAGTTTTTCCGTTAATGAGAATAATTAGCAACAAGAGGTCGTTGTACTTACGTATATGGCTTAAGGTCGTGCTAAAGTCTCCATTGAATCGAACGTGGGATTTACCCGGTACTTTCAGTTTCCGGTATCTTTCAGATTAAACTAACGCTGCCTGACGTCTATGCGTGTGCATGATTTTTGTCAATGTGTTGCACCGTAAAAGGATTTTAATACGTCGAGTTTATATGTCGTTTAATTACCGTCATTCCATATTTTTTTCTTGTTTTACATCGTTAAATGTTACTCCTATAATTTGCATTAAAAACCAGACATTTGGATTTTTCTCATTTCACGTTTAACGAGTTTAAAATTGTCGCTGCTCATTGCTGGCCATTAGTTCACAGAAATTTCACTTCCAATTGATCGAAAGTGATGTTTTTCCTGTCGTAAGTAGGTTTACATAGTTAATTTCATGCTTATAAATTGAAATTGATATTTACTGGTTGATGAGTTTTTTGTCGCTTTGAAATAAATTCATTTTGTTTGAAATGAAGATAAATCTATTTGATAAATATAAATATAAGATATATTAAATAGAAAGATATTAGAAATTTTAGATAAACATGATAGATAGAGTTTTATTTGTTAACAATAAAAATATATTTCAATTTTGATTATTTCATGCAGTAAAATTGGACATTATTTTATTGGAAAATTTATTTCTGATTTTTCAATACAAAATATTAAAAAAAAAATTATACTTGTTATATAAAATTCATAAAACAAAACATAAATTCTTCGTTGGAAAATTATTTATTTTATAAAAACTCAATTTTATAATGTGAAATATAAATAAAAAAAAATAATTATTACTCTGTTTGCAAAATGCATATTTGATTTTAAAAAAGCACATTTTGTTTCCAAAAACATGTCCTTGATAGAAACAAATATTTAGGAGTAACCTACCGTAAAATATGCATAAGTCAGAGAAAATTGATCCAACGAGCGTAACTCGTGCTGACACCAGAGGTCGTTTAATTGGCAGGTCGGCAATTAGGCGATTAATTAAGCGCGGTTAAGACATAACAGGAGGAACGAACATAGTCTTCTTGCGTAATAATGCTCGTGGCAGTGAACCTGAAGTCGAAGGCACTTCGCTTCTCACGTCGACAGCGAGAAGCGGTTGCACACGGAAAAAACATTAGCCTGATGCGTCTATCTAGACAATTGTCTCGTACGGTTTTCTTTTGCATGAGGTTTTGCATTTCCTAACTGTTATTCTGTAAGTAAATTCTAAAAACAAGTTTACTTGATGATTGAAATAAAAAAGAAATCAGGAAATGGAAATTTTATTTCTTTTTGATTCTGATGATGATATTAAATATTATACCTGAATTTATATAAGTTTTATTTTATTTGATTTATATTATTTTATATTATTTTCTTTGATTTATCTCCACGTTTTCTCTAAATGATTTGTAAAAAATATTTTAAATTAATTTTTTAAGAACAAATAAAAATAAATAACATGGTTTTAAACGAACGAAATTTAAGCTACATACCAGTGATTCAATATTCAATTTCAATATTTTCGTGGTCCATCCAATAATCTTCCAATATCAAACTCTCAACCGATAGTGACATTTTAGAAGAAAATACTCTTCTTCTCGAGGACAAAAAAAATCTGCTTATAAATTCATTGATTTATCAACGATTGATCAAGAGAGCGATTTAAACCAATCGATTACTTCCGAGAACAAGTACAAGAAACAATACTTATGCAAATCTCAAGCGGATTCTCCGTTCGAATCTCGACCATTCTTTTGTACGAGAAGAGGGGAAAGTAGTTTAATTCAATACTGAAATGCGATTCGGATTGGTTTTGTCATCCGCAAGAAAAAAAAGCACGAAGAAAAACAAGACGAATACGCCTATCCAACCTTCTCCTTTGTTGCCATTCGAATTCAATCCTCCAATTCTCTTTTTCTTTTCATCCAGTTTTAGCAGTTTTTTACTAGCATTGTCGTAATTTGTCATCGACCGAAGAACTTACCTCTCGTGCACATTCGTAGCAATTTGTTCCTTCAACGGGACATTCTGCTCTCGACAGATAATTCGTTTTATTCATTAGCCTTCACTATCTATCTCTCTTCCTTCTATTTAATCCTCTGTCCTCATCTTTCTCTTATTCCAACTTTCGTTCGTTGTACCTAACCTCCAATGCTTCATTCTGCTAGTTATGTCGCAATAGTCGAGTTCGATTCGTTTCTCCCTTTTATTTTTCAACAAACATCACCATTTGTCCGTCGTTTTCTTTTCTTCTTTTTCTCTATTTTTTTTTTTTATTATTCACTGTTTCCATTATCAGCACTTCGACTCGTGAACGATCAAAAACTAAAAGCGGAATTGTACGAATTTGCTTGTTTATCGATCGAGAAAAAAGTCGATTCGTACTCGATAGTCCACATTCAAACCACGTTTTAAATTCTGATTGGTCCCGTTTGTCGTTCATATTTGAATATTTACAGGAAGAGGGCGCAAAAGGTGTCCATATTCGATAGATAGTTTTCGTTTCGTTTCAACTTCATTTCCGTTTGGTTACGATCGGAATACGTGAAAATGTTTTTATCGCAAAGTTGGGTATTTACACTTGGCGTCGTTGTACCACTCGCTTTTACATAATTTAGTTATGAGACATTTATTATGTAATTTATCGAGACACGCTTGAGAGAGGCTGATTGCATAACTTCCTACATGAGGCTTTACCGCGTGAATTACTGTGCTGAAGTGCTTCGAGAGCATTCAACGCCTCGAATCGAAGATTGTTGTGTTTTTATACACTTTTACTTGTATATATGGTGAAATAGTTGCAAGAATGTTGAGATTATTTTTTAAATAGCGTTTAGGTGTCAGGATGAAATGCGTACAACATTTTGTATGTATCTTAATTTTTTATCTCAAAAGATTTTTTTTTAATTTTTAACTTTTTTAAAATATCTAAAATTTTGATGTTTTATATGCTAATGCATATAATTAAAATGTATTTTAATTTTTTTTTAAATTTATAAAATACTTTTATTTTTTTCATTATATTTTTATTTTATATACATTTTGTTTCTTTTATTTTTCAGCTTTTTATATAAAGAAATATATAACAATTTTTTTTCTTTAATTTTCTTACATTATCTTTACGTTAATTTATATTTTGCTTATTTTATAACACATTTTGTTATTTTTATATTTATTATATTTATTATATTCTAATTTTTTCTTAAGTTATCTTCTATTCTATTTTATTATATATTAATGTAAATTTAACAATTTTGTTTCATTTATTTTATATTATTTCTCGTAAAATATTTCTTTCTTTCTATTGTTTAGGAATCTAATGTGGATTATTCTTTTTCATGATTTTTCATCTTGTTCATATGTTTCCATTTTTTAATCGAAATATTTATTACATTTACTCCATGGACAACGTCAACAGTATTGTTATTTTGGAATGCAGAATTGCTGGGTGATGTCAGCCATGTTGCTACATAAATCATGGCATGAAGTGATCGTTACCAAGCTCGTAAGCGTTGTATGTATTTGGTCCTAAGATTTTTTTTCTGACCTCTACTGCGGTTTCACTTGGCGCGTTTTGTTTCATAGCCAGTCACCCTTGGCATTGTATTGTCACGATATCAACCTCTTTTCTTTGTATTCATATTCTCACTATAGTTATATTCTCAACGAGCTTTAAACTTTGATTCTCGGTAAATCTGACAAATAATCTCTTTCATCTTATATTTTTTTCATCCATTTACAATAATATTCTCAAAGCTTTTTCTTTTTTTTTTTATGACAAAAATGTAAAATTTATTCTTTAAAAAATGATTGATAATTTATATATAAATTTAAAATAAATATTTTTTATTTCTTAATAATATGATAGAGTAAAAGTTTAAAAATAAAATTTAGTTTTAATTCTGTTTCATGTTTTATTTCTAATATAAAAATATTTTATTTAGTTTAAACACATTTTTTCAGATTTAGAAAACTAATCATTAAAAATGTAAAAAAAAATAACTAGATCTGATTCTAATTTTGTAAAAATTAAAATTAGTTATCATGAAAATGAAAAAATTAAAAATTTAATGCTAGATATATTTCTTAAACAAATTCAAAAACTACATTTTGTATGTATATGTATTCTTTTGTATTATGACAGATAAATTGCTTATGTAAAAGCAGATGATTATTTTTTTCGAATGCATCGATGATAAAAAACATTTACCATATTCACAGTCTTCTAAGGATCAGCGGCGAGTTTATGTATGTTAATGGAGAAAATGGATGGAGCACCTTAAATATAAAGGCTAAGTTCCCAGCTCCATTATCGTAACCTCTAGAGAACACGACTATACAATTACGATATTAATATTTATTTTCCTATTGTTCGTTTGCAATAATTTCATGTTTTCCACTTCGTATCTTTTTGCATCTTATGTTTTATATTTTATCTGTGTTTTTTTCCTTCTGTAGTATTGAAAATTTTATAAGCTATAAAGTTTCATTTTGAAATTTATTAATTTAATATTTGTTATAAAAAAAGAAGTTTTATCAATAAATAGATTGTTTGATTATGATATTATTAATTTATATTTATATAATTAAATATTGAGCTACTATATATTTTTTTAAAAATTTTCCTCTAAATAATTTTTAGATATATTTTGATGTATATTCCTTTTTGAAAAGTTTTTAAAATTCCAATAAATGGTCCAATGATAACATGAAAATAGTAACAAAAATCATGAAGAAAATCGCAGTAAATGATAAATGATTTTCTTTCGTCAACTATTCATCCGATGTAATCATCGTAACTTCGTTCGCATGAATGTAAAACGCATAAACTTATATATATACACGTTCGACTCGTGCTCATAGCAAATTGTGGTTGGAGAAGAGGTTTCACCGTTAGCATCAGGAAGAAAAAACATTTCCATCGACTTTTCTCTTTGTTCCTTGGACGTGTAATGGCACGGAACTAAAGTGGCGAGTACGGGGCAACGGGCGCGTTTACGACGATTTATATCTCGCGCGCATGGCTGTGTCATGGCGCAATTTGTCCCGCACAGAGGCCAAGCCTTGAAGTCCCTAGAAGAATTCTTCTCATGATGGCCAATGTCATTTTGAATAAAGTTAAAAGTTCTGATTTATATTGTAATTTAGTCTCATAATGAATGAGTACGAAAAATTATTATGATATTATATTTATATAGATGGATCCTAATTTATTAAGATATTTATTAATTTAATAGATATAGATTCGATATGATTCAATTTTATATTTTAATAATTCCTAATAATAAAATCTTAAATTTGAAATATAAATTGGTTCTTTTTTTTATTTATACGCATATTATTCGTGTGATTCAAAAAAAATCTATTGAATGAATATTTCTTGTTAATTATCAATCAGGAATAACCAAGAAAATTCTATTATTATTTTTATGGCAGAAAAAAACAATATTTCCATACAATATAATAATTAATGTCAATTACGATTATAATCATATTACGATTATTAATGTTTATTTATCCATATCTTGAAACATTATTAAGTGTTCAGTAATTTACGTTACAAGAATGTAGTAACTTATAAAAGGATGGGATATCATAATGTATAATGTTTGCAACAAAATGACCTAGGTACTATGATTTCACCGATCATCGATCGTGCTCGAAACATTCTCAGCTCTCTCACGACATACATAGATATATTCAAACACAGATACGCGCAACTTATTCAATGCTATCGATTTCCCATTAAATGTGGATAAGCGTGATCCCGTGAACGATCACGAGAGTCACGCTTCCACGACGTGAGTTTTCGACGTGCAAGAACTTTCGCGATGCGTAGAAAAATGCGTATAGTATACGCGAAAGCATCGTTATGGAGGAAAATTTGTTTCCAATCTTTTTTTTGATGGATCAATGCCAGAAGCTTGGGATGAAATATCGTGGGAACGTACGTTTCTTTTTTTTTTTTCTTTTTTCTCATTTTTTCCCTCTGTGTATCCGTATGGCGTTTGTTAACGAGGAAACGCTTATGAAATCTCGAGGTGTTCCGCGGACTGCGGTATGCATGCAAAAATATTTCTGCGTATTGTAACGGGAAGAAACAGACATGCAACTAATACCTGCGACTGGTGAGCAAGTTCAAACATGCAAATGTGCATGTTGCTGATGCGTAAAGCGTGATTTCTTAATTTATTCGTTTTTTCTTTCTCTTTTTCTTGTTTTTTTTTATTTTTTATTTATTTTATTTTTTTTTTTTTTGAAGAGAAAAATGCGGAAACCAGACATGAAGTTCGTGTTAATTACTGAATTTGAAATTCTTTGACACGAAAGTTGCTCGTTGTTTAGAAAATATTGAAAAATGGAAATTGAGTTGGATTAAAAAAAATTGTATTTCGGAAACAAGGATATGTTGTGAATTTCATATAAATGTAAAATGGTAATATTTTTTCTTTCTTTTTCTTTTTTCTTTTTTTTTTTTTTTTTTCTATTTGAAAGCTTCAGAGAGAAAGTGGAAGAAGTTGTTTTTATATAGAGTGTTAATATAATTCATAAGATACCTTTGGATTCTAAAAGATTAAAATAAATATAAAAGTTAATACAAATATGTAAATTTTATATATTTTTAAAAACAACTAT